GCCAAGCATTACGAACAAATCCTTCGCTTGTCAACATGTTGGAACTGCCTAATGCAAGTTGAAGGGACTCGAATGAATATGAGAAGCAGCACGTGTATGGGAGCCTTTTTTTTGTGCTTTCAGCTCAAGCAATTCTTGTTTTCAGATTGGCCGTGGGAACGGTTTGCTCAGTCCTCGCTTCGTATTGTTTGACAGGTGAGAAGAGGTTACACTCTGCACACCGTTTGCAAGGTATGAGAAACCTTTTCACTTCCAACAGTAGTGATAACTGGAGTTACCCACCGAATTCGGTTGTTAATCTCTCCTGACAACCGTTAATTTGACACGATTGGACAATCAAATTGCACGTTTTCGTCTCATATTCCCCTCCAACCATCTTCCACCCCACCCCACCCCACCCCAACCCACCACTCCACTTCCCTCCCAAGCAGGCACAATGTTTGCCTCTGCATTCCGACTGCCCATATTCCAAGGCATTCGGACCGGTTCCTGACTGAACTGGTAGAGCTTTGGTGTGCAACGCATAACCAAAGCACTCCAAAGCGTCCACCCCTGCACCACGAGGCAAGGGAGCATATCGCGTGCTGCCATGCACCATGAACCAGTTCCTTTCGCGTAGTCAGCATTAATTTCTGCTCCTCACATGAAACACTTTTCCTTCCCATGAGATTTTAAATCCAGTATCAAGAAGTCGGAGGTGGTTTTTGTGGACTCTGCCCAAACCCCCTCCTCTTCCCCCTCCCCCACCCAATTTTCCGCTTTTCCTCCACCTTGTAAGTGTTGGCCACGGCCTATTTGTGCGCGCAAGTATGTGGAATGGGAACGTCAAATGGAGTTTAGTAAGTTGGTGTTAAAGGTGGGTCTTGTGCGGAGGATTGGCGGAAACAAGTTGCACCTTAAAATACGTTCCTGGCCCTTCTCATGGTGGCATTCCATAAATCCATGTAAATTATCTCTCATGTTAGCCACTCAAGCAGGGCATGCCTCGTGGCCGAAACAGTTAGTCGAGCACTTCTGTCAAGCCATTGTGTCTTTGTATAGAGACATCGGAGCGCATTGTTCACACAAATTCGAATGTTGAATTCGAACATCATGACTTATGATCCCGATGTTGTGGCTATGTTTCACGTTAGGTACAACCTTGCAGTAGCCTATTATTGTCCGTGGTGAAATCTGTTTGCTCTGTCGGCTTGGCTGAACAGCCCAGCTAACTTCATGTCAAAATTTTAGTTTGACTAATTTAGTGCATCGTTTAGGATGCTGCTTCATTTGCTTACCAGGGAAGTCAGCAGCACACTTCTTTCCAACTTGACTTGTAACTCTCAATTACCGATTTGCTAACGTTGTTAGGTACTTCGATTCTTGCTCATTTTAAAATCAGAAATGGAAAGTAACTAAAAGAGGGATTTACGGACCTTTTACATTGACATTTTCTAACTCTATTTTTGTCCCTATTTGCGACCACTCGCACCTTCACAGTGAATGTGGCCTTCTTCGAGAAAACCTTCAACTAGTCATATGCGCAAACTTTTCGAAAAAAAATGAAAATTTGAGCGGATGGACGGTGGATTTCCGTACTCCACCCACCGTTTACCAATATTAATGCTCACACTCATGATTCTACTATTTCTTTTGCGATTTATCTCCTACCGTTATTTTAACTACCTTCCTTGCTATTGCCTCCGCAAGGAAGAATATTGTGTCATGCCTTAATTGCACAAGTAAGGACGAATAACATCAACTAAAATTTATTGTGCTAGCGCAAGAGCCGCTTAACAATCGAGTTAAACTGATCGGCATTTTTGAAACATAAGTGAGCCGGCTTTTGTCCTTATCACAGAATTACACAGTGGAATTTTGAGACGAAGGCGATATTGTGAATCTGTGAAAATTTTATGCGCTAAGCGACATTTCGACTTTGCGTTAAATCTCTCATTCCAAATCCAGAAACCTCCAGATTTGGAACCCCAGAGGCGAACCCTTCAAAAATATAAAATCCGAAAGTATGGCGACCTACGAGTAACATCCTCTGTGTTCCAGCGTGCCAAAGCTCGTAAGGAAGGTGTTCGTATCTGGCATAGCGAATACACGCTGCGCTTTGTTACAGACAGGTCAGGCCCCATTTCCTCAAAACCCACTGCACCCTCTTCGAGGTAAAATCGAATTCTTTATCATGTTATCTCCATTTTTATGAAAACAAAAGGAACTTGAAGAATTTGGGACAATCAACCTTCTGCCAAAAATGTCTTGATTTTGTCTTCCTCCACCTTCCAAAGGCTTGAATAAACTTTCGCACTCAATTCTGTTTAGGGCTAATTTTTTGCATTGGTAAAACCGATTTCATAGACACTCCAGAGACATCAATTTATTCCCAAAGTGGAGTTAGTGACAGTGAGGAATGCACGTCTATCAAGTTCCAGGCTCCACGCTACTATTCCGTATCCTGGAAGGCACTGCTTTCGGGTGCATACTCCTGCAATTCGCCTATAGAGCATAACATCCCTCAGCTGGGAGCATCAATCGACTTTAAGCAGTGTAAGATGCGCTGTAAACTGAAAGTTCAAAGTATGAGTTTCTGTCGACAACTTTTCAACTAGAACGGTCGCTGATCTTCCACACGAATATATGTACTACCTACTTGCGTGGTCAAAGTCGTGGGATGCGGTGCCGACAGCGCCTGGGGAAAAGGGCAAAGATGGTTCCAAATTACGAGAACAGGTCAGCTAAAATGGCTCTTAATTAGAGCAGCTAATGTACTACTAGGGAAACGAGAGGAATGAGTGAATTTCATGGGTCAACGATAGGTGATGAAGTAGACGCTGGTCACCAAAGTCGACTTTAAGACCCAATATTCCTTAGTTTTGATGGTGAACTAATATCGAGCCTTCAATGTTTAGAGCGTTCGTCGCGTTTTATGGTTTGAAGCAGACAAAACTTTGCAGAAAGAGGAACACTACGGATATACGACTTATCGGGCAGAGGAACAATTACCTACATCCAAGTGGACACTTGTTCATCACAATAAATTGCTTTTGTAGACCTCTATAAGTCATTTATCGTTCCTGAGGTATTCAGAGGGCACATAGCTCCCAATTGTCTGAAGACGTGCATGAAATGTTACCTTACTGTGTTGTTTCCATCCTGATGTTGTACAATCAAGGCACCCGTACGTCTCCAAAGACACACCCCGTTCCCTTCCTCGAAGAATTCCCTGTTTCACCAACTTGGAGAGCATTTCATAACACCTTGAATCCTTAGTTCAAGTTTATGTCCCTCGATTGACCAAATACATGGATAGATTAGCACTTGGTTGCCCTTTTAAGTCCACATAAAACAAGAGTAAGTCGACAATGGCACCACCCAAGCCTCCAACAAGCACATCATACCCCAGTAGACGGTAATACGTCTATAATGAGAAGTGTGCTGCTCAGAACCCTGTGTGCGAATATGTTTGGTTAAATCACCTTCTCGAAAGGCAAGAGATCTCACACTAACTACCGAAATTTCCTTACTGAGCATCCAATGACCTTCCTTTAGAAATGAAGAGGAATTCATAGGATGATGTGAGTCTCCGTCTTTCGCCATAGTGCAAGCCCAGGCTAGAGTTCTTTTACTAATAATTTTTTGCATCATCACTTGCCTTAGGCATTTGTGCAAGGTGTTATCCATACCTTGACCACCAAATGCCCTCTCAATGGCCAGCATACAGCTATCTACTAGTGCAAATATAACGCAATGCAATTTAAAGCTATTGATGGCTTGTGACAAAAAAAATGGAATTAGCTGAAAATTATTCGAGTGACATCTCCTTGTCCCACTTTCTTTGATGATTATCTGGAACATTCGACCGCAGGCTTCTGTAAAAGACACCCGATTCAATTAACATTCAGGAAATAGACAGTGGCGATTTCAAACGATCATCGTACTGAAGATCCGATGCCCACTGATGCATTAAGAGAAAACATGTCTTCCATTCACCTACGATGATTCAGCAATGGACATCGTAGGTCTGTTGAGAGCTATTTATATTAGTCGAACTTCAAAACTGATGCGTGAGATAATTATCAAGTGATGATAGGGAGTTGACGGCCTGGAAATTATGAAATTAGAATGACTCTGAGGCAGATTTGAAATTATTTGTCAACTAGTTAAAAATACTGAAGGTATTTTTACAGTAAAACATGAGAAATTAGTAATCTAACATTCACAGTGAGGAAAAAGGAAGTGACACTATAACTGCCAGAGAGCCTCCTAGGGAATTTAACCACCAAAGTCACTTAAATTTTCCGCTACTGGAAGTGTAGAAGCCAAGTAGACCAAATCAAACTCCGCTGCGAAGCCGATGAAAATTGGACTGCAAAAAAGCAAATCGTGTATTTTGTCATAGTTTTCCAATTTTACATAAGCATTGTTGATTGCTCCATGGACTCGAAATTGCTAACCCCATTCGTGAGTAGTAACAGTCGCGCTAATGCGAGAGGAATGGGGAGGCGGTGGTTGAGAAAATCGCTGGCGCTCTCACCTTCCAAAGTTGTCTCCATAACGGCGAGACCTTTTTCGGATCTCTAATTTGTAAAGTTTAGAGAAAAAGAAGCATTTACTATGTGGTAACTTTTCGTTCAATTCCCCGGTGAGTCCTCAAGAGGATAGCCTTTTGTCGAGGTCTAGTTCTGCATTCCAAAGAGTTCACAGTAGCCACATGAATAGTTTTTATTCTCAAGGAAGTCACTGGTCTCCTGATCCACAACACTCTCGTAAACTGTTAGACGGGTGTAAACAACTGCTCTTCTTCTTCACTTATGCCCTTCACTATCGAAGTTCCTTAGGTTAAAGCGCAAGGAAAACGGCCACTCAGCTACCTGCTTTTTTCATCCACTTAAATTAAGTAAACCAATTAGAAAAATATTTGCCAAATTTTGGATGAAAAAGCTTACATATGAGTGCCACACCTTTGGTCTTAAAGTCTCGGTTCGATATCAGCAAGTAAAAAAGTTAGATGCAGAAGCACTTGGCATGAAATATCATTTTCCTTTGCATCTTCAACTTGTCACACTGCTGATCATAAGGAGCAGAGAAGAGAAAAAGGAAACAAGGGAGCTGAACGCAAAGAAATAAGGACCAAAGCAGGCATAAAAGAGACAAAGAGACCTAAATTACGGTGCTTTGCAACTCACCTTGAACTTTATAAAAGGTGCAGAGGTGGTGGAAGAGGAGACTGAAGTGGAGGAAAGTAAGCTGGGACGCAGTTGTACTTTGTAGATGCCTGACTGCCGAACGTGGAGGTTGTAGCCAAAAAGAAGGCCACAGGCCTCGCGGAGCTCGCTGCTCACGGAAGCGAATGTCTCCATCAGTCGATCACTGCGGCACCGTTCCGTCTGTAGCTGAGACTTCAACTCTGATCAGAACAAAGACCGCATATTCAGTGATCAAGTAATCCACTCATACCAATAATCCCGACAATCAAGCCGTTGATTATCAGGAACGATCGACCATTACGACAATGTAGTGTGCTACTTATGGGTGGCGTTCGCAACATCTAAGGCATGTCCAGTGACCGGGGTCGCATCGCCTGCTGATTAGGATCACTACTACCTTTATAAAGCAATGCATATAACATTTAGACTTATTGTGTATGTGTGAAATGGGTGAGTATAGTATTTTGCAGGGAAAAAAGCAAAGAGAAGAATGGCAGAATTGTATCACCATGCTGGAATGAAAGACGACCTAGTCCTCCCGCCTTTAATAGGAGCAATACCAAGTTTCGCCACCTATAACGAAATACAGCATACCATGGTATGGTGGTAAGATCTCATGAAGTGACCCGGCTGTCACGGCTTCCCCCGGAGCATTAATTAAGCATCGAAATGTGTGCAAAGCAGCAGTTACTAGGTTTGCCCGCGACCCATTTAAATACCAATTTCTAAACTTTCCAGAGCAATCGCACCCCAGCCTAGCCCAGAGGTATGGTTGTTGAGAGAAGGATCAGAGAAATGTGCCACTGAAAACGAAAGTGGAGCATCAATATGTCAGCTGGACCACTCAACTTCCAGAGTCAAATAGTTCAGGCTTTTACTTTAGGAAAGTCTGAAACCCGGCGGTTCAAATTCTCACATGGACCGCGATAAAACGACATAAGCAGGATCAATATTTCATTTCGGGGGATTTCCAACAGTGAAGATGTGGGGATAACAAAGTAACAAGAACATTTGAAAAATTGGCCGCAAAATTCTCACCAGTGATCGACATTTGAAAATTCAGAGTACTTATGGGTGTTTATCTTGCGATTGCAAAACCGACAAATATACGATAGGGAACATATTCCTCTCTTCCAGGAAAGTATTTCAAGTGGTAATGATGAGACCGGGATGGAGAATGCAGTGGGGTTTACTTTGGCTGGGACGCCATCAGGTAAACGCGATCACAGGAAAAAGGAGTAGAAGACGTAGTGGTGCCTTGATTCGTTACGTGCTATTGTGTGGCCACTGTCGTCAACGCATTGCTCTTGTGCTCTTTATATTAAGCATGACAGTTCAGATTTTCATTCCTAATCTGCCTTAAATGTGCTCGATTAGGCGTCCAACGGGATCTATGCCCGTCACAAGTAGTGTTAGAGCTACTCCAAGTTGACTTCTTCTTCCCCCTCTTCATCAGATAGAAAAGGAATAGATAAAGGCCACAGCGAAACAATGCGACGATAGTTGTGGAACGTTGCTACGTAACAACTATCAGTGGTGGTGCACCCTAGTATTCCCCACTATAAAAGCTCTCTAAAATGCTTTCCTTTCAAAGATTGAAAACCCTTGAGTTTGAATTTAATGATCAAAATAAAGTGTCCAGCAAAATACCAAATAGCCTGGCATTGTTAATTATGACTCCACGATGTGGAGCGTACCAGTTCCTAGCATTACCAATACAAAGTTCACAGATAATACGTCTGCATTAGGAAAGAAATAGCCAAAATGATAGACTTGGATGCCCTATGAGCAGAAGAGGGACTCACTCTGAATCTCGGAGAGAGGATCTTGGTGGTGCTTGAGGCTTTCTACCACCTCCATCGTCACTTCACCCATATCCGGGGTAGACTCGAGGGCATCAGCCTGGCCATGCGATTCATAGAAGCGTGTGAGACGATCATGCAAGATCTGGCAGATTAAAAGTGCACAATGAAATGGCTAAACAACTCGCGCCTTTAGACGTTTAGAGAAACTGAATGATGTTAAGTGGGAGGACTTCAAAGGGCAATTTCCCTCAAAAAGGCGACAATGAAGTGCTTCCATTCGTTTCATGAAATATGCTTTCACGCCAATGAAAATGACTGCAAAACGAGTAGTCTATACTATCCATAGCACACGCCTAGCTTCCAAGAATGAACAGTAAAGTCCATGTTCCCGTATTCCAACCATTTCTAATCGCATCAGATGCCTTCTCTCTTCAGACTAACGAAACAAGACTCCTTAAAGGAAGCTCAGCAATTTTAGAGTAGAAAAGCTCACATTAATGCGCTGCTGCAATTGAGCATTCTCCTTGCGTAGGCTAATAATCTCTTCCTCCCGACTACGTTTCATAGTGTCCGCCGGATTAGCGAGAAAATGAACCACCCGTGTCTCATCCGGATTATAAGCACCCTTAAAAAAAACCGCTTCATTAGTCCTAATCGTGACAAATTTAAAGTTCCAAAGCGCAACTCACGCAGGCCCGCATGCATTCAATTTCCTGTTCGACCGATTGTTTATCCCTTTCGATTCTTTCAAGCCGTTCTTCTAACTCACTAATAGTTTCCCTAGTAAGAAAATTCACTTGCTATTAAATATTTAATCTCGGTAGCCCTAACAAAGTTATAAATTCGAAGGACTCACCGCAACTGTTGAATAGTTTGGCGGTCAGTTGAAGAAATAGCCAAATCTGCAGAAGACATGTCAATCTAGGAATAAAAAAGGTAAACCAATTTCAGTGCTGCCAAATTTCGTCAGATGCAGAGCAAAGTAAGCCCAACAACTCACAAAAGAAACCCCACGCGCGCCACCCGAGACATATGCAACTTCATCAATTAACCGTTCAATCTCGGCTTCATCAGACTCAGCCTGTTGGTGAAAGACCTTCAGTGAGTTCGAAATATGTTCGATCATGCTCTGGAACTGATGAACTAGCTCCCCAGCTGGCGAAGCAAGCGTTGCATCTGCATCCTCATAGCTGCTCACAAATTGCTTATACATATCCCGCTCCTAGTCAGTAAATTGTTACTTATTATCTGTAAGTAGCAAGATCCTAGTAAAAATATTGCACACTTGCTGGAGAATCTTAATACGCCGACTGAGGCGTCGAAACCGGGTTTCAAAGCATTCCAACATCGTTTTGAGTCTAGATTCCTCCGCAGTAAGTTCAGAGTGCTTCACCTTTAGACTTTTCAGCTCCACTGATGTCGATGCTAACCTAAAAACAGTAAATGGTAGTGTACTTGATATACTCGCTCCGAAGTTGACCCATTTCAGAGAGTAGGAGAGCATTTTCTCGTTGACACTGAGTCAACGCTGTTAGTTTCCCCTCCATCGCTTCATTTACAGCAGCAGAGCTCTGGCTGTTCAGCTTCTCCTCCGCTAACAGTGCACGTTCTTGCCATTCATTTGCTCGTTCAAGACGAGCAGTCAAATCCTCTAAATGGGCGCGGACAGTGACAAGTTGCGCTTCAGAGCGCCGAAGTTCCATATTTTCGATCTCCAAACGAGCCATGCGTTGCTCCATGCGGGTAGTATGGAGGAGGGAAGAGGATCGAAGACAGAGGCCAGAACCGTCCGGACGACTTACAAGGCTGGAAGCATTGCCAGGAGCGTGGGCCGCCTGTTCCAGTTGGTCCTTCAGTTGAGCGTTGGCTGACTCCAGCTCCTTGGAGAGGAAAACCCCTCAATGAATAAGCAGCAACCTCATTATCACGCTACAATTGAAATGCGTTTCAACTTAGTGCTGAGAACAATGCTTTCTGAGGATGACAGTAAACTCCCTCACCCGCCCAAGCACTGGAATTTGTAGAGCAAAGTGAAGCAATGCCGAACCGCATCGAGCATCTACGCTGGGTTTAGCAGCTATGAATAGATTTAGTGGCGATTACTCGAGCAAGTTGCCAGAGCCTATTTAATTAAAGGATATGAAGTCAACATTACAATGCATTTGCTCTTAATCATGTACTGGGGTACAATTGCACGAACCAAAAAACGTAATGACATTAGTTCGCAGTTGCATGATGAAAAATACTAACCTACAGGCGCATTAAGACAAAAGCAAAAAGTAGGATCGATGTTCGACATAAAACTAAACCGATCATATTTGAGGGAAAAAATCCTAAGACTGATCCAATAATCTATGCAAACAAAATGTTTTCATTACTGTGTGCTTAGTGAGGACCAAATGTTCTTCAGGCGGAGAGGCAGAAATAAGTAAAATTCCAAGAAAATAGCATTACGACTATCAAGCTTGATTGACCTCACTAAATTGCACATGCAGAATCAATCCCTTAATTCAAAAGAAAAAATGCCAGAAACAATGTTTCAACTATGTCGCATTTCCATAGTACACGCACACACCTTGACTTTATTTCCCAAGGATTCTGCTTCCTTCAATGTTGCTTCATTTTCGTCGCAGATATGTTGCAAGTCATTCCGCTTTCTAGAAAAGAAGGAACAATCCCTATTGATAAACTGGATAAAAAAACGAGCAGCTATTAAAACCAAGTCAATAAGACATCGCGATTTTTGCAATGTACCTTTCCGATATGCTTAAGTCCAAACGGAGGGTTTCAACTTTAACTTGGAGATTCGTGGTTTCCACAAATTTTGCCTCCAAATCCGACCGTAAGGCTGTTATTTCCGCATTCATGACATCAACCTTCTGGGAGAGTTCAAGAAACAATGAGAGCACACGAATGAAAAAGGATGGCAAATTGATGCCGGAAAGAGAAAACGGTATACCTCAGCTAGCCCGTCGTCATGCTTAAAAGCAGCAAGAGCGCTCGCAATCCTAGACTCCGCATGACCTTTTACAGCTTCCAGCTGCTTGTGTAACTCTTCATTGGTTTCATTTGACTCTTGTAAACGTTGCTCCAAGTTCTTCAGTCGAACTTCCAAATCGGCTTTCTCCGAGGCCAGGTTACTGCTCTCCATACGGGCACGTTTCAAGTCCCGCTCGGCAGAAATTTGAGCTTCTCTAAGAGCTGTCTCCACTGAGTGCTTTTGTGCAGCGAGAACATCACGACCAACTGCCTCAGTAATGTCTAAAAGGCGCTCCTGTTGCGGCAGAGTCAGCATAACCAACCTCGACTCGGAAAGAGGTGGAATTGAGACAAGGCCTACGGAATTCTGTACCGATTTGTCCCCATCCATGGCTTCGAACCTCCTTGGAAGTAGCAGCAAGAAATAGCAAATATATTAACTTCAACAGCAAGAAATATTAAAATGGTAGCGGAAATGAAGTGCATAAAGGTCACGTAACCAATAAAGCCTCAAGATTTGACGAAAGAGAAATACCTGGAGACCCTGATACACACAAAATCAAACTGTCGCATGGATTTAAATAAACAAATAGTATAAACAAATGCTGTTAGCCAAAAAGGCTTATTATATTTTGATACTCAATTAGTGCAAAAAATTAGCTATAAATAAATAAAAAGACGCGTTTAGGTTACGTTATTAACACAATGTATTACTTTTGACCATGCGAAGGTAACTAGTTCGATCTGAGAATAGTCAATCCCGGTTAGCCAATTATTAACTAGCTTAGGAAAATTGTAGTAATAAGGGTGTAGGACGCATCTGCAGGCCCCTGAATCCTCGACTTCATGGCAGGTTTATTTGAAGGAAAGTTAATTTGACATACTGAATAGATGATAAGCAAAGCCCCATTGTGAATGCCTTCACTCGCTCCCCACGGACCGGATTCGTGTTCGAATTGCCTAGCCGCCTGCCCCTCATATAGGCACCTTAAACAGATTAGTATACATTGTATAAATTACCTCATTTAACTTCATGTGTTTATTAGTAGAGTACGTAAATCTGCTACTTATTGCTCAGATATGTTTCTCCCCGCATCCGATTTACCGCGTTTTTCCTCTGTTTTTAAATCTATACCCTATAATATACTGCAATCTTGACAGCTCTTCTTTTATAAATGGTACGAATAAGCACAGATATTGATTGCTACAGGAAACAGACTTACTGACCATCTCCTTCCTCTGGAGTAACAACATCGGTTCTATCATCGGAGTGCCGCACCATGATGCCTTGTACAATGCTCATCCAATCTAAATCTTGCTCAAATATCACGATCTAAGCTAATTATCAGGCTAAATTAGAACAACAGCAAATAGCTGGTGGCAAAATCAGGAGACCATAAATGTTATATGCGAAACAGACTAACAGCTGCATTTGCTCGAGTTTAATACTTTAGTTCTGTCGCCTTACTGACATAGTCTAAATTTTATCATCTAAATTGCACTAGTCCATACCAGCATGAGAAGCCACTTAGCATTTTCGCAATGAAGGTAACTGAGACTGTAGGCGCTGATGCAGTAACGGTTGCCGCAAAATCTGTGTATTTATAGACGATTCGGATTAAATTCAGAACCACTTTTTGGGATGTCAACGACCTCATTGAAGCTAAATGGAACGAAACAGTGGCAAACATCACTGATGTACCCACTCTGTTAAACGGAAATAGGCACTATTTAAGCAATGGTAACACGAAATCTAAAAAGCAAAGTGCAGCAATACCTCTGGAATCCTCTATACAGTGCCACATAAACGGTCGCGGCACTCCAGAACGGATGATTCACATCCCATGACCATCTTCTCGATTATGCAAATCTCCCCGATGGAGAGAATGGAGGCTCTCACTAAGGCACCGATATTTTTTTTTATCCGAGGTTAGAAATAATTTTGCCTCTAGAGTAAAAATATGTCTCAAAATGCCTAACAAAGAAGCTGTCTATATATCTCAAAAAAAGTGAAAGTCAGTCCAGTAGAAATACCAGCCTTAAGCATGGCTGGCGTCCATCCCTTGAAGATGCCCATAAAGCCCTCCTCCAAGTAAATGCGCCGCAGACAGTCCGCAGTTACCAGGCCCCATTCGCTGTTACTTTTCGGTGGGAGACGTCCAAAGTATCTCCTTGCTTCTTCGAAACCCACTGCTTGGAAGCGCTTCTTTACTACGTCTAGCGGATACACTGCAGATCTTGCCAAACAGCCCGCAATCGCACCAGAAAAGAGGGTTAAGAGAACTGATGAATCTAGAGAGAAAGCTGGAAACTAGCATCAGATAAAATATTTGAGGACACATTATTATTTTTTGAAAAGAAACAAACTTGGAAATCCGCCGAACCACCGTTTTAGTCCCTCATACGTGGCAAAGGCAATTGCATTTTGTGGTACAATAAGGATGAGAGAAGGAGCAAGCCCTCTCCAAAATGACGCCAGACCCTCGTTTACAAACATCTGTTGGACTCCATGTGAAAACCCCCGGTAGACCTTGATATATCCCTGGCCCGCCAAGCGAGTGCGGAGGACGTCAATGGGCTGGCAAACGAAAGTTGTTATTCCACCAGCCATCCCGCCCGCGATCGCGTCATTCAAAGCTGTTCGATTACAATGCAGACGATTGACGGACCAATCAGAAAACGTGTGGAAGAAGAAGAACTGCGGTAGAAAAGGTGCTGTTACTTTCTGTTATGAAAAGGAGTGAATTTGTCCTAAGGCACCGCATACGACTAACCATACAAACTGTATTTTTACGGTCTCAGGGTCATTCTGGTCCCACAAAAGTAGTGCGGAGAGGCATGAATCAAGCGACTGTCTCAGAAATGGAACTTGACAATTTCCTGTTACAAGTGACACTCGGTTCAAGTGACAACCAATTTTACTCAAATAATTATACGTGAAAATTATTCGATCTTCTAATTCAAAACTTTTTTTGAATTTCCTTGGATGCTACGATAAAAACAGGCATAAAAATTTAAACATTACATGAGAAATTTGATTCTATTTGGAGTCTCCCAAGATTCTCGAAGTCACGTGAATTTTCATGTGCCAGATTTTTAAAATCTGTCTGGTTACAGAATTTGATCACCGTGGCTTCAACCTAGGTCATTAAAAGGGTTCACAAAATAAATAATTTAAGGCAATACTAGAGTCAATTCATGGAGAACGGGTATCAGAGCATGAAATCTATTCATGCCTTAAATAGTTGACGATTACAATAGTACTTTTACACGTTCATATTCACCCATTTCGTCGGTATGGTGTAGCCAAATTCCTTGAGAAGATCAATGCGCAAATGCTATTAGAGCTACTGAAATCCATATTTTTATTTGCGACACGGAAAACCTAGGCGCCATAGAAAGAAAGAATTCGATACCTAGACAAAACCTGCAAAAATGCATAGGAGAAGGACACGAGTTCTTCTCATATCGACTATTTGCCCGGGTAGACTTAAACTAGTCAGGCTTGGAATTAGCATTGAGTAGGTGCTTAAAGTCAACAACTTGTGCCATAGCCTAAAGAAGTCATATGGGTCTTAGTATTATTCCCTAGCCGTTTATATCAAAAAGGAACTGGCGCATAATCTATAGTGCATTCAAAAGCATTCTATAATACTACCGAAAACCAACATCTACAATTTTAATTCTGCCAAGTTAGGGATGAGATTTAAAAGCACAGATAGAATTCACAGTATGCAAACAAGTGATGATCACATTCTTCCATCCGCATTCCGATCCAGTAGATGGGGGTGGTGAATTTATGATGATGAGTTGAGAAAAGAGTCAACTATAAACAGGGTTCGAAACCTCAACTACACTACCATACTATACTAATATAAGCTATATGCCTACTATACGTGGCATACAACCGCAAGTTCTTATCATGCTAGTAATCACTGAGTCAAATAAAAAAAGTAGGAAGTAGCAACCGCGCTAAGTCTAAATTTGGATAAAAAGCATAAAAATACGCTTGTGAAAGGAAAATGATGCCGATGCAGGATAACATAATCTCGAATTCCGTGTAGAAACAAAGTCGAAACAAAGGCCAAGAAATATATCTTTAAAATGACTGACGTAATCAAAGCAAGATGACATAAATAGATGGAGCCAAAAATGATACACAGCGAAAGAAAACTTAAAATCATTTAAAAAGGCCGACAGGCCAGACTAACCTCAGAACTTGTAAAAATAACAGAAAGGAATTGGCCAGCAAGATGCCCCTTCCAAAGAGCACATACACCTTCTTCTTGGATGATTCGCCTAAGAGCCTGGTGCATGCTCTGGTAGTATCCACCATTTCGACAAGATATACTCTCAACTTGAAGCTACATGTAAGAAACCAAATTCGTGAGAAATTTGTAAACAAAAATATTAAAAAAATCCTACTTGAAAACGGATTTTCAACACGTCCAAGGGTTGTGTCAAAGCCCGAACTGAAAGACCAGATAGAGAACCAGCTGCAGCATCTTTCCTGTTCTCACACATTTGACAACATTATCAAATGCCGCGCTTCCCAAACACTATACGCAGAAAACTTTGACCTAGCCCAAATGGTTGATGCAAACGTCTCCACATTGAACATGCTTTTGCTGCCAAAACCATGTAAACATAAATTCAGAAATTTTTTAGCTGCTAATTATACGTGGATTATAAACAATTTAATATTGCTACGTTGGCATTTTATTTAAAGGTGACATTTTAGCTTTCTCCAGTGTGTTCAAAAGACAAATGACAGCCTATAAAGAAATTAAGAGAAGTAATCGTAAAGTCTCGAAACTTCCTAGATGGCATAAAAAGTCAGTAAGCCAAGCTGGATATATGTATTTCACAGACGACGGCAAATGAGGCTGGGCATGGCCGGAAGACCAGCCTACGTGTGCAAGAGCCAGACAATTCCTATAGTTGCCGCCAAGCATCATTCAGTCACATAAACAAAGTATTACACTGCCTCTCTCCTCTTCTGAGCAGCGTCCTCAATGCTCCTCTTGGTACACATCCCGCACCAGACATCGCAACATATTCGGTACTACAAGAAAGCACCCACGAGCCAACCGCGCCTGTCGACAGACAACACGAGAGCGAGGAACCGTACGTCGTCCTCTCTGCAGCTTCAAATGGGTCTGCACTTATGTTCGATCTAACAACCACATTCGGGACCACACACACCTGTTGACCATCAATTGCTCTCAGGAATAGACGGTGGAACTCTGATCTAAGGCATATATGTTACAGGGAAAGCAAGACGAGCCCCTGTCCCCTATGCGAGGAGAACTGTGGTGTCATTTCCGACACCTAAGCACGGATTTTGTATGGGGAACTCCGACATGAAACTTTTCCAGATAGTTCACAATGGTGTCGCTTCAGTTGCAAATACCTTGTCAGTGGAACAAGGGAATAAGGTGAAACCACATGCGGATGTCAGTTTCAAAACTTTTCGTTGTGAAGAATACAGGGATTCGCCGTCACCAAGGTGAATGCGCCAGCTTCAATTTACATCCCCTTTTCGCCTCTATCTTCATCTATTGCATCTTCTATTGCATCTTCATCTATTGCACTTCGGTAGAGTCTGACTGCCTTTTACGCATGCATAGCTCATGATTGCCGGTGCACAACGCCAAAATACGCTTATTACTCGTGAGTTTCTTCACTAAAAGTTGAATTCCTTTGCAGTCTTGTCTACTGGTTGGATTATAAGCTTCTTGTCGTGAAAT